AAAAAAAAAAAAAAAAAAAAAAAAAAAAGCCAAAGAACCTGAACAGACATTTTTCAAAGGAGACATACAGATGGTCTTAAGCAGATGAAAACATCAACTTTACTAATCATTAGGGTTACAAATCAAAACTACTGAGACTTTGTGTCACACCCATTAGAAGGGCTGTTACCAAAAAGTTAATGAATTAAAAAAACAGGGCTGGGGATGTTGCTCAGGCTTAGAGTGCTTGCGCTTGGTTGTATCTCCGGGAGCACAAAGAAGAGAAGGGAATAAGAAAGGAAGGGAGGGAGGGAGGGAGGAGTGAGTGGCGGAGAGGATGTGAAGAGACGGGAAGCCCGTGTGCTGCTGGTGGAACGTAAAGCGGTGCAGCCACCGTGAGCAGTAGTATGGAGGCTCCTCGCACCCGAAAACCGGAGCTATCACGTGACCCGGTAGTCCACTCCGGGTGCCCAGGAAAACTTGAAACAGGTTCTCCAAGAGGCATCTGAACAGGTGCATTCAAAGCAGAACTTCACCAAGGTCAGGGTGCAGAAGCAGCCCACACACTCCCAGTGGGCGAGTGGGCGGCAGATGTAAGACACACACACACACACACACACACACACACACACACACACACACGAGACGATGCTGCTTAGCTTAAGGACACTCTAGCCTGTGTCGCGCTGTGCATGAAACTTGAGGACATTTGTGTGAAGCCAGGGACAAAAAGACTTCATGATTCTATTCAAACAAAGTACATAAAGACATAAAAATTATAGGGACGGAAAACAGAATGGTAAAATCAGCCGTGGTGGTGCATGCCTGTAATTCCAGAACTCTGCAAGCCTGAGGCAGAAGAATCAAAATTTCAAAGCCAGCCTGGGCAATTTAGCAAGACCCTGTCTCAAAAATAAAAAGTGGGGGCCAGGGATTTAGCTCAGTGGTTTGGGTGCCTGTCTCACAAGCGCAAGGTCCCGAGTTTGATCCCCAGTACCAAAAAAAAAAAAGGGGGGGGGGCCTGGGGATGTAGTTTAGAAGTACCACACCTGCCTGGCAAGTGCAAGGTCCTGAGTTCAAAAAGTAAATAAATAAAAAGTAAAAAGTAAAAGCCAGGCAGGGTGGTACACACTGTAATCCCAGCACTCAGGAGGCAGAGGCAGGATTGCTAAATTCAAGGCCAGCCTGGACTACATAGTGAGAGCCTATCTCTAAATAAACAAACAGTAATTAAAAAAAAAAAAAAAAGGGGGGGTTGGGGATATAGCTCAGTGTGAAGGCCCTGGGTACAATTCTCAGTACTGCAAAAACAAAAACAAAAAAAAGATTTATATATGCAGATCTCCTGGTTTAACAAGCTTCCTGTTTAATGACTTAAACTGAGGCATGTTGGGGTGCGGATTTAGCTCAGCGGTTTGGTAGCCCGCCTTGCAAGCTCAAGGACCCGATTTCAATCCCCCATACCAAAAAACAAAAACAAAAACAAAAAACTGAGGCATGTTGTTTGGATTTATGACCCGCTGCTTGGACTTACGACCCATCTTTTTTTTGTACAAATATGTACATCTTGATTTTTTTGTTTTTTGTTTTTTTTATGGTCCCAGGCATTGAACTCAGAACCTGACACTTGCCAGGCAGGTGCTATGCTGCTGAGCTAAATCCCTGGCTGTGTATCTTGTTGCTAGAGCCTCAGTGTCTTTTTTTTGCATACAGTACACCTTGTTTATAGTGTTGTAATTTCTGCTGATTGTACTGTACAGTACAGTACTGTAGCTTGATGTTGTGATACATTAAAGTGCTACATGTAGGAGTTTTGCCAGTAGAAGCAAAGTCATCAAGTTGGGGCTGGGGATTTAACGCAGTGGCGCTGCCACCTGTTTCACAAGTGCAAGGTCCTGAGTTCGATCCCCGGTAAAAACAAAACAAAATAAAAAATGTCATCAAGTTGGAGTTTCCTTTGACCATTTCTTTGTTCTGAATATTGTAACGTACATACTACACACAATTCCTCACGTAGTGACCAATTCACTTAACAACCTAGTTCAGGATCAGAATTGGGTCACTAAAGGAGGACTGCTTAAATAAATACGTACCAACTCTACTGTCATGAGGAGACAGTTCCGTTAGCAAGACCCACGGAGACCAGAACAGGGCACACTGAGCTGTTATGGAATGGGCACAGTTACAGCTTCACAAGAAGAAAAGAGTGATGAAGTGGATGGTAGTGATGGCCACACAAACCATGCATGAATTCGGTAAAAGTGAACTATGTACCAGAAATGGTTAAGATGGTAAATTTTACCATAAGAAAAAGAACTAAAATAAATGAATAAACTTGCCTGGGTAACTAAATCCTCAACTTAAAAAACAACTGACAAGGGTAGGAGAGTGCACTCAAAATGTTCCTAGGTCAGAGGAAAGAAGACAATGATAGATGCTCTGAAACCAGGAAGGACACACAACAGAGCTCCCTTTGGAACGGCAGAGGAACACGGCCTAACCCACCGTGCCTGTACAAACTGATTTCTAAAAAACTCCTTCCACCAAGGAACTTTTAAAAATATTCTACAACAGAAAACCACATTGTAAGTATTACTAATATAGTCTTTGTACTATCACACAAAATGCCCCCTTATGAACTGTAACCGATTTTATGCAATAGGAACAATGCTCCTTTTTTTGTCTGTTTTTGTTTTTTGTTTTTTGGGTTTTTTTTGTACGGGGATCGAACTCAGGACCTTGTACCTTTGAGGCAGCTGCGGTGCCACTGAGATAAATCCCTGGCCTGCCTCTTTATAGAACCCGCATTGTGTCAATCTTAGGATTTAGCTCAGTGGTGCCGCCACCTGCCGTGCAAGTGCAAGAACTGAGTTTGATCCCCAAACCAAAAAAAAAAAAAAAAAAGTTAAGTCATGGCATCAATAAACTGCTGGCCACAGTGCCTTCCCTGGAAAAGCATGGCTGGGAAACAGTGAGCTGGATGGAGGAGGCAGAATACCACACCTCTGCAAGGTTGTCCCCGGCGACCCACAGGAGGGCCTGGAAGGATGCGAGGAGCAGGTGTGCAGGCCCTGCTGGGCCCCCAAGGCCAAGTCTTTCTGGGGACTCCTGACCATTCACGATCTCAATCTCCCTTACTTCATGGAGGGCCCTTTCTGCCTCCCTCGGGGGAACAGTCTGTTCACAAGGGTGCCCTTCTCTGATGCCCACTGAGCACCATGGAGGCCACGGTGTCAAAAGTGAAAGAGTTCACTTGCTGCCCAAGTCCTCAGAGGAAGAGAGAAGGAAGATCTTGATATTGTGAACACCTGAAATTACCACTAAAAATCAAACCAGTCATTCACTCAGGCTGCGTGCAGCTACCGTCTGTGGGAGTCAGCACTGGAGGTTTATGCTACAGGTGACACCAGATACACGGAAGGCTTCCCCTGTCACATCAACTCCCCACCCAAAGCACCTCAGAGCCCTTCTCCCTGGAGTGGGTGCTGTGTACCCTAACTTAAGAGAAGATATCGAAGGGAAAGGAAACACTACCTCAAAACCCTCCATTCTACCTTGGCATGTGCAGTGCACACCAGTAACCCCAACACTCTGGGAGGCTGAGGCAGAAAGATCACAAGTTGAAGCCCAGCCTAGGCAATTAAGTGATTGAGAGCTTGACTCAAAATTAAAACTGTCTGTAGCTCAATGTGAAGGCTTTTGGTTCAATGCCCAGTATTACCGTAAGAAAGAAAGAAAACTCCATTCTGACTTTGTCTTCAACAGCACTGCCGCAAGTCTCTGGCAAGATGTCTATACACAGGACCTGAATAGGAGATACCGTACTTCACAGCTTACATACTAAGACTCCAATCTCCATAACTCACAAGTGACCCAGCATGTTACATGATGTCCAAGGAAACACAATGAGAAAGGGAAAGGACACCACGTGACGGCAGAGGCAGGGCAGGAAGATGCACTCACCGAATAAAACTCAGGTGAACACCAAGTGACCGGTGTGATCCTGAGCAGTCGATGCAAAGAAACACCCCATAGGTTATGCTTGCCCAGCTGGGGTTTTTGGCACCACAATCAAAGCATACCTGAAATAAAAATGCAAAATTCAGTTATTAATTAACCTATATTAGCTGGATGAGTCATAGGACACAGTACTTGACTGGCTCAAACACTGCTTAACCTTTACAACTTTTTTTTTCAGGAGACAATGAAACTTTTTTATGGTGAGACCAAACCACTAGAAAAATATATCACAGGCTTGACACAGCAGACAGGCTGTATTATCATTTCAAGAAATAAATTGGTAAAAAGAGAACACATCCCAAAAGATAAGGTGCCGGCTGGGGCAGGAACACTATGCTGTAAAGGCCCCAGGCAAAAATGGTTATTTGGTAAAGGAGTCACAGCTCAGATTGCTTACTTGTTGGCCTTCCTGTTGCCAGAGGACATTCTCAAGAAGGCACTGTAAATCAGGAGACTAAGAAAACAGCACTGGGTTTAGGCTTTTATTCCATTCTGTTCTACAAAAACCACTTTCTTCAAGTTCAGTACTTCACAACTGTCTTAACTAGCCAACAGTTCCTATCTCAGTTTATCAGAGTCAAAACTCTCTACCCTTCAAGGGAAAAATGTCCCTGCAAGATCGTCCTGCTCACTGCCACAAAAAGCATGAGGGCCCATCAGCCAGCGAAGGAACTCTGTTTTCCATCTAGTGTGTGACACTGACTCTTGTTTTTGGCAATCATTTCCGGACTGAAAGACACAGCGTGAGAATATCAAGACATGCTCATCCGTATCCTGATAGCTAGAAAGGGACATAGACAAGGAGCCTCTCACAGCTCTTATCTACTGTCTCAGCTCCACATCTTAACCGACTTCATGCCCTTGCACATAAAAAAAACCAAGCAAAATGAAGGTACAGGCCCCCTCCGCACTCTTTTGAGACAGGGTCTTGCTTGCTATGTAGTCTGGGCTCGTCTTGAACTCACTATACAGTTCAGGCTGACCTCAAACTCAGGGCAATCCTCATGCTGCAGCCTCCCAAATGCTGGGATTACAGGCGTGTAAATTAGTTATCTGAATTTTGTTTTATGGCTTAGTAGAAAATAGTGTGGTGATACTTCTGGAAATTAGCTACAGAGACACTTCTGCAATGCCATCAGGTCACAGGCAGCTCAGAGGAACCTGCCAGCCTGCTAATATCTGTGTGTTAAAAGCCAACACTGGTACTTTGGGGGGTTCTCGGTTGGTACAACTGAGCTCTCTACTGCCAGGATAAAATCTTGCCACATGAGATACAGGCTCTAAAACACTCTCTTTGTTCTATCTTTGACCCAAACTTTAGCACCATTTTTTTTGCCCATTTTACTTTCTAGTATTCAAACAGAGGAATCAGGGTTTGGAGGCAAGTGAAATGTCTTAAACTTGCTGTCATCCTTAGTTTCTTCATTCATAAGTTTTTCTTCCTGCACTAAACCCCGATGGCCACTGGCAAAGACTTTAATTTCCCAGTGGACAAGAGCGACTCCTTCATCCTCTCGGTCACAGTTGGAAGGAGGTTCATGTGGCCGACCACACACGTGGCCACACAGCTGTCCAGCTCTTGTTTCACCTGAAGCTCCTTATTCCTGCATCCATCGAATCTTTGGCTTTATCGTTGTGACGCATCATGCCCAGGGCCAGGCGGTCCTGGGACTTTTCCAGCTCATTGGTCACCAAGGCCCGGGCCTGAGCTAGAGGTGCATGGCAGGCCTCGATGCACTGGCGCACCTGCTACATGGACACCTGGCTGTCCTCACAGCAGTTGGCTCTGCCCTGGAACACGAGGCTCCGCACTCTCCACCAAGGAGTCCACTGCCTCCTGCCCGGGCTGCTAGTTGGCTCTGCCCTGGAACACGAGGCTCCGCACTCTCCACCAAGGAGTCCACTGCCTCCTGCACCCGGGCTGCTGCAGCTCCGCCATAGCGACCCCTAACCTTTACAGTTTAAACTTTGACCATTACAAAGTATCTCAGGTAAATTTTATAAAACTTCAAATTTACATATCTTTTATCATGATACGGAACATTTCATGATAATGACATATTATCAACTCTAAATTATCAACATAGTTAGACTGCGACATCACTGGGCTGGGGACTTAACTCAGTGATGACGTGCATGCCTCACAAGTGCAAGGTCCTGAGTTCTATCCCTGACACCGCAAAAAAAAAAAAAAGTCACTACATCATATGAACTTTACGTATCTATCAGGACACTATGCACTGTCCCCAGGGAGGGAAATGGAGTCTGTGAGTCATCTTAGACATTCCTTGTCCTAAGGCTCAGCAAAGACCCTGCAGGGATGTGGCCCTGCTGGCACCCCAGCTCTTCCACCCCGGGCCTGTTTGTCCCACACAGCGGCTTTCACATATATTTCCTCTCTCCTGAACTGGAGATGGATATGCCAACCAGATGGCCCTAGCCATCCCCCCAACTCCTGGTTTTCACCCATTTATGTGACCTCTGCCCTCTTGCCATCTGTCCAGGTCACTCTGAGAACCTCAGGCACATAGGGCATAACAAGGAATGTGCTGCCTGCTGAGGTTCCTGAGAGTCTCACAGGTCTGGCCTTGTCCCTGCCACCTTACTTTCTTTTTTTTGGTACCGGGGATCAAATTCGGGTCCTTGTACTTACAAGGCAGGCAGCAGAACCACTGAGCTATCCCCAGGCCCACCTTGCTTTCTATTTGCACATGGCAGTCAGGAAAAGAGCAGCAAGTGTTTCGTGATCAGATCTAGATATTTTCAGAGTCTGAAAACCAGTAGTTTACTTATAATAAATGCTCAGTAAATATTTGTTAATCAAGTAAACAATCTATGAAATTTAGTGACAGCTGAAAGCTATCAGTAATTCCTCCAACACTGTCACTGAAGTCAAATGCTCTTTATTTGATAACTAGAACTTACTTTAAAATACACAGGTCTCATCACAGAAAGTAAGATGTATAGTTAATTAAAATCAGAGCAATTGTTAAAACCCTAAAAGCAGGAGAATTTTCTTTAAAAATTTTCAAAAAAATAGTTTGTTTTTTTTTTGGTACCGGGGATTGAACTCATGTCCTTGCACTTGGAAGGCAGGCCACCAAACCGCTGAGCTAAATTCCCAGCCCCCCAAAAAAGTTTTAAACTGGTTGTGGCGGTGCATGCCTGTAATCCCAGCACTTGGGAGGCTGAGGCAGGAAGATTGCCATGAGTTCAAGGACAGCCTGGACTACATAGTGAGTTTAAAACCAGCCTGAATGTTGTAACAAGACCCTGTCTCAAAAAAAAAAAAAAAAAAAAAAAAAAAGCTTTAGACGCACTTTGTAAGACAGAGCCACCTACGTGAAGCTTGTCCCCATTACCCCCCTTAAGAAAGACATGGCTCTGGCCTTTGAGAGCAATATACAAGTGTCATCATGACAGGTTCACAGTGATGGTCAGGAGTAGTGGGAATGGAGTGACCATGGATGTGAAAGGGACTCATTTCAGTGTCTGCTGCCTGCCTGCTCTGTGCCAGGCACAGTGTTGGGTGCTGAAGGACACAGCAGTAGACAGTGCCACGGATCCCACCAGTTCATACTGAGCCTTACTCAGCTGTCTGAGGAGCACTGTGTATGGGGCAGTCAGACCCTGACATCAATGTACCCTGAGGGCAAGAGCCGTCATGGGAGGGAGGGTCTTCCATGGGACACCAGGCAGGGTGAGGAGACCTCTCGCTACCCGTGGTGACCCTCCTTGGTCACTCACCTGACAGGTGCTGTGCACTTGGTGTTTGGTACTGTGTGGGCCCCCAGAGAGCCGGTCCACAATGGTGGCCAGGATTAGTCTGCCCCCCGTAGCCCTGAGCACAGAGGCCAAGACAGTTACCTAGCCTGTAAGGACAGGTTCCCAAACTCTTCTAGACAGGGCCAAAAAGGTACCTGTGATCGCAGGAATGGGGTCAAGGAAGACAGTGGGTGGCGAAGGCCTGGCAGGAACTGTCCTCGGAAATGGAGGTGACAGCAGAGATTTGGTGAGCACAGCTCAGAGCAGGCCAGGTTGACAGTCACTTCTGAGGTGGTCACAAGGCCAGCGACAAGAAGACAGCAATGGGCTTCCAGCCTTGCAGTTTCAGCATCTCGCATCCACCAACCAAGCTGAGGGATTGCAGGGCCAAGCGCAGCCTGTCCTGTCCACTTGACAAGCACAAAGTGGGCCCTCACGCCTACAGGCCAAGGCAGGGAACAGTGTGTAGGGCTAGGGCTGTTAGAAACGTAGGTCTGGCTTTCACAGTGCGGCCCTGATGAGCCTGTTGGGACAGGAAACTGGGCTCTGACAGCAGGGACTACACTGTATCTTGACACATGATCCCAAATCAAAGGTGATTAGGGTTTCCAAGCAGAGTATCAGTTCTACACAGAAAAAATAAATGGCTTCTACTGACAATATGTTTTGCCCGATGATGAGTGTAATGATTATAGAAAAATTAATAGCTAATATTACATGTTCAAGTCTTCACAATAGCCTCTAAAAAGGCATCATTACCACCCAACAGGGCCAGCCTGCCAGGCCTGTGTATGATCTAAAAGGACTCAGAGGGCTCCTAATATAGCAGGGCTCACAATGGATTTAATGCTCTGCTGGTTCAACTTCAAATTCTTGATACTTTTCAAATAAGGGCCTCAGCCTGGGATTTAGCTCAGTGGTTCTGCCACCTGCCTCACAAGAGCAAGGACCCGAGTTCAATCCCTGGTACCAAAAAACAAACAAAAAACAATCAAATAAGGGCCTCATACTTTCAGTTTTTACACTCCATAAATTATGTAGCTGGGCTTGATCTCCATCTTGGAGAAGACTGAGGAATCAGTTAAGTAGCACTGCTAAGAAGTGACCACGTGGAGAGTGGACCCAAGCAGTGTGCTCCTGGCGCCCACCCCTCACTTCTTCACCACACTGCAGAAAGCAGGGCCACAGTGCTGCAGCTGCTCCTCATCCACAGTACCGGAAGCTCATCAAGCAGTGTGCTCCTGGCGCCCACCCCTCACTTCTTCACCACACTGCAGAAAGCAGGGCCACACAGTGCTGCAGCTGCTCCTCATCCACAGTACCGGAAGCTCCGGAAGGAAGGCAGGGCCAGCTTTACTCATCCCTGTGTATGCCCTAAGCTCAGCATGTTGCAGTGGTTTAATGAATAACACGAGCAATTTATATAAAACTAAGGAACAGGATAGCCACAAAAGAGTTCATAAACCAGAAAAACGACCCTCACAAGTTAAATCTTTGACCCAGAATAAATCATCATCATATGTAACAGGACAAAATTGTATACCTTATTTTAAAAGGAAACAAAGTTTTTCCTTAATTACCTTTCCTATCTTAGTATCTCAGAGCACATTTTTATGCCATTTAAAAAATACTTATTGTTGTTCAAAGCAAGCTCTGATCTTTGTTCAGATAATGGTTTCAAGGCAAGGACCAAAGGGATGCAAGCTGATGATCAGGACAGACAGCATATTTCTGTGAAACATCGTCAGAAAATATTTTTGGACACTGCTTCTTTAATCCTGTTAAAGAATATAAAATTTCCCACAGCTGTGTTCTTTATAATAAAGATAACAAAAAGTAGCTGAAATTTATGGAAAACTAGTACATGTAAATACTTCTCTAAATGCTTTTCTTGACCATCTCATTTAACGCTCACGCTGTTCCTGGGAGGTAAGTCTGGTTTACCACCACCACCTTCAGACAAGAAGTAAGGCACAAAGCTGGTTTATATCTGGATGTCCCCTCAAAGCTCACGTGCTCTTAGGTGGAGCTTCTAGGAGGTGACTGGCTCATGGGCTTTTGACACTTCTCTGTGGATTAATCTATGGATGAGTTTATAGCCAAATGATTTGGGAGGTCACCCCTCTGCCAAGCTGCCTTGCCTTGGAGCCAGCCGACTGAGGACTGAAACCTCTACAAACTGTGAGCCAAAATAAACCTCTCCTCCTTAGAGTTGTGAGTGTCAGGTATTGTGTTTTAGCAATGAGAACATACTTAAGGCACGGCCCAAGGGTGACACAGGTAAAGAGTAGTAGACATGGAAAATAATTTCCAAAGAAGCCCTCACATGTCCCTCAAAAGCTTCTCTTGGTATAATGATGAGAAACACCTTTCCACTGGTTAATTCAATTAGACAATAAAGATTGAGCCATGAGCCAGGGATTTAGCTCAGTGGTTCCACTGCCTACCTTGCAAGTGCAAGTACCCAAGTATGATCCCCATTACCAAAATAAAATAAAATAAAGATTGAGCCAGGAACCATGATGCCCATCTGTAATTCCAGCTATTTTGGGAGCTTGAAATATAAGGATCTTGAGTTCCATGTCAGTCTGTGCAACACAGTGAGACCTTGTCTCTAAATAAATAAATAAAATAAAAGGGCGGGCAATATAACTCAGTGGTAGGCAGGGGATTCAATCCTCAGTACCACTACCCAAAAAAGAGCAGCTGAGACCACGTGTTTTTGGTATGGTTTAAAATAAAGCAGATGAAAAATACTAACTGCAGGCCCAATCTTATCTAGTAGTACAGTGACCATGCTCTAGAAAACAGATCCAAGAAAACATGGCCGGGGTTGGTGGTGCACACCTGTAATCCCAGCACTTGGGAGGCTGAGGCAGGAGGATTACTTTGAGTTCGAGACCAGCCTGGTCTACATGGTGAGTTCCAGGTCAGTCTCAACTATATCGTGAGACCCTGTCTCAAAAAATCAAAAAAAAAAAAAAAGAAAAAAAAAAGAAAAAAGAAAAAAGAAAAAAGAAAATCAAGAAAAGGTAAGAAGATGGGTCCTGAAAAATTCCTGGAGCCTTTCCCTGCTAACTACCCTTCAGGCAACCTTATTTTCTTCCTGTTGAAATAAAGGCTCCCTTCCACCATCAACACTTAAAGCACTTACATTTTGGAACACTTTCTGGGCCATCTCATAAGGGCCCAAGAGTATGCTCAATAACAGCTGCTCTGCTGGAGGTGACTGGACAGGACTACGGTCCCAGGAAGGGTGGGGAGAGCCTACAGGGCAGCCCTTTGCTCTCCCCAGGCTCCACGCTACCTCGTGACCCTCACCAGGCTGTCATTTTAGCCCCGTGCATCATCACCACATGTCACGGACGCTAAAAGTTGTAAAAGTTAGAGGGGCTGAATGATCCTTGGGGAGAGAGAAGGGGGGGATGAGAGAGAGAGAGAAGAGGGAGGGAGGGGGAGAGAGAGAGAGAGAGAGAGAGAGACAGAGAGAGACAGAGAGGCACACTCCAATGTCTAAACAGAACCTGGCCAGGGAAAACTGAGGGTCTGGTGGGCAAAGCTGGAGGCCATCACAGAGCCACTCAACAGGTTCATGAAGGGACACTGAGGCTGCCACTAAAGGACAAAGAGAACCAACCAGACCCCGATCTCCTCGGCCTCAGCTCCCAGCTGGAACTTCAGAGGTGAGAGGGGAGGGGAGCCGCGTCCTCCAGCACCCCGTGCCTCCTGCTCCTCATCGCTCATTCGCAGCCCCGGGAACCCACGCATGTCCCTCCTCTCCCTGTCTGCCTGGCGGCCAGGTGTCTGGAGCCCACAGGTGCTCTGCCTCCCGTCCCCAGAGACCCCTCCCGGGTGACCGGCGCC